TATCGATAATCATATTTATACTTTGATTAATTTATTATTGTATTGTTATATAATATTTAGGTGATTGAGGATGTGAATTTAAGTTTAAGTTCTTTTGATCCTTAGTTGCTATATGAATATTATAAGATTAAATATGTTTTTTAATTCTTGAATTTTTATTAATTTTCACTTTTAGATTTTGAACATGTTTTTTTGTTTTTGTTGGTTTTAGTTTCTAAAATTTTCCTGATGAAAAAAATATCTTGACATTAAATGTTAATGAGAGAAAAAAAATGAATGATTAAAAGTGAAAACCGGTAGAATGTTCAAGTACTAAAACTAGTAAAATATTTTGTTTAGAAACTAAAAATAAAAAATACTAAAAAGTTCAAAAATTAAAAATATATTTAATTCTATAATTTTAAGTGTTAGATAAATATAGACATAAATTATTCATTTTAGGTTAAAGTTCTTTTTTAGTTCTTATAATTTTATTTATTTACTTTTTATTCCGTATAATTTAAAATAAACAATTTTAGTCCTCATACTAATTCTTTTCTAATCATTTTTAATCCTTATAATTCAAAATGAATCTTTTTAATCCCTACATTTATAGTTTTTCAATCCTTTTAGTCCTTATCATTTTTTTTTGTAACTTTGTTTGTTTTATATTAATGTGGCACTTTAATTTTGTGAGGGTAAGAAAATAGTGTTTCAACATTAGACATCACATATAAAGATACAAAAAAAGTATGAAATATCAAAAATATCTAATTTACAAAACGTGGGTTATTTATAAATATTGAAGAGAATGAGATTTTATTAAAACCACTTGAACTAAACAACCTCGCTTTTTTGATTGAATATCCGTTGTAGAAGGTTTAATGGGAAGAACAAGTTACTTGTTAGTTTTGCTAGCACTATAGTTGAGTTGAATTTTTTAATTTCTTTGTATAGGGTGAGAAAGTGTTAAAGTTTCATTAATGAGAGAATAATTTTTATAGTTGAGCTTTATATGTGTGTTTATGAGAAAGCTTGGCTTTTTATAAAAAAATTAATAATTTTCACATCCTTTGTGGGTACGTATTGATGAAATCACCTCATATAAAACCGTTTGCATAGGAAATTGGCAAAATATATAGAGCACTCATGAATATTGGGTGTACACATGACATAAAAAGTGCAACATAACAATAATGACAAGGAATGTGGGGGTGTATACTATTATTAATTAACTTTTAACACATTTCAATTGTTTTAGATTCAATAGTTTCCTACACTCACTACATTGTATTAAGTTTTATCAATATAAATTTTGGTTCAATAATTTATTACACCATATTTGATGCATTACATCTTATAATAGAATCCAAATTTCTTTTTAAAACTTTTGAAATATGTGAGGATTGTTGTATATTTTAAGATATTTCAAAAATTTAATTTGTTCATCATGAAATTATTATTTTAAATTTAAATTTTGAGTTGTCATATAGAATGTTGATGTGAAAATGTATTGTATATTTTAAGATATGGTAAAAAAATTAATTTATTCACAAAATTATTTGAAATTCAAATTTAAATTCAAAAATTTTATTTTATTAATTAACCTAATTAATGTTAGTTCAAATAACATATAATAACTTGACGGTTATAATTTTAATTATCAAACATTTTAAAAATTAATTAATTTTAATTATCATAATTAATTATAATCATATTTCTTAATCTTAAAAATATCTTGTTGTATATGAGAGTCTACAACAATACATTACACATATCATCACTTCAAATTGATTCAAGTTCATAATATTCATGGTTCATATGCTCATAAAATTCATCGACAACAAAATAATCTCAAGGTAACTCTAGTAGAAAAAAGTCATATCACATAAACATTGCTACCTCAGCCGATAAATAATTGATGTTGAAAGCCACACAACGATACTTTTGAAATTTAAGAGACTATTATCCTACAAATAAACCTCACCAGTTTCTTTTACCATTTACTCTCTCGAAAGTTTGACGACTCGTCATTAATCACCACCAACCTCGTCTTTGAAACAACTTCTACATGCCATTTCAGAAAAAAAAAATCCCCTGTAATTCAAGAACCCGCGTTAGGAAGAATCACTCTTAGGAGAATCGTCGTTGGGGAAAACATGTGATGGTTAGGAACTTGACGGTGACAATGGGTTCATTCTTTTTGAACTTCTCAAATTATTTTGGTTTTCTTAATCC